TTTCTCGATAAAATTATGGGAAAAAATAAATAAATAAATAAATAAATAAATAAATAAATAAATACAGACCTCTGGATCACACCTCCAGCAATTTTCATTCATCCAGGCGGGAGAAGAGTCTAATAGTCTGCAATTTCTTGTAAGTTTCCACATGATTGTGACCATATTAGGTCTGAGACCACACGCTGAGATTCACTGACTTACAGAAGATATCATATTATCCCTACGGCAGACCTACTCAATTAGAAAGGCTGAAGAAGTTACGTCGTGTTAACATTTTTCCCACCGTTCTTAGTCTGAAGGGTAGCACACATCTGGATACATTCTTAGCCCATGTTCTTGTTAGGACAAAGCTCTCAAAAGTACTGATTAGCTCCGTGAGGTTTTTGTAAACGCAAGCAACACACTAAAATCGCCAAGGAATATTATCTAAATGTAAGGTGCTGATGTGCACTCTGTCTCCTAGCAACTGAAGCGCAGTCCTGGGGTTTGGTAACAGGAGTGGGGAGAATACGTAAGGGACCAGTACTCTTTGAAAATCCAGGGGATTATACTGTGCATCATGCAGGATTAAGAAACTTTTGTTTGGCCAGAGACTGAATGAACAAATTATTGAAAAATCCGTTAAGAAATAAGAACAATTACCAAGCATTTTTCTGCCTTTAAAAGTTATAAAATATGACAAGAATCCACACAACACAGACTTCAGTAGTGAGGCAAAGAAAATGCAAGATTCTAAAGACCTGACTACTAATTACTAGGGGGTGGAACCAGGAATCAAACACAGGACCTCACTCACACTTGCCAGGCATGACTACTAAACTGAAGTTCACAATCTAATACTCAAATTTAAATGCGCCATCTGGACCTGCATCTTTTTGTGCTCGCCTTAAAAGAGAATTTTTGAGAACACTTAGAATTCACCAGATTCTGTGATGTCATGAGGAGTTGTCAGAATATCAGATAAAACTGAAAGAAATCCTGGAGATCATATTACAAAAGGAGAAACAAAGGCCCACAGAAGGCACATGAATAATCCAAAATGTCACAGCAAATTAGTTTTGAAATGAAAAGCACAACTGCCTGTCTCTGGCGTTCCTACCGACTCTATTCCTCTCCATCTTATTTCTATAATAGAACACAGAGAGGCACAGACTGAGGACAGTCTGAGAAGGTAGGTGAAAAGGAACACAAGAGGGAAATGATTGTACTTCTGAAAGAAACAAATGGAAACCAACAGACATCGCCATTCTAGGCGGAACTTGACAGATTTCTTAAAGCCCTAGTGATAACTCCATCATAATTATCTGCTTTATGTAGAACCAAATTTTCAGTTATTCAGGCTCAACCATCAAATACTTCATACAGCATCCCGTGGTAGAGCTCATGTGTACTCTTAATACACTTTTAAAGTACCACATACACACAAAAATATGTAGAATGGAAACGCCAAGAAAAGAGAAATACGGTAAAGGGAGAAAAAAGAGTCACTTCAGAGAGATGGATGAGTAAGTTGGGATAGCTGGACTGAGAAACGCTTTCACGTGTCTTAACTCAGATAAGAATTATAAGAAAACTCATTTATAGCTCATCATTTAAATAGATCACCTGCATAATATTATTTTGCAGTAAGCCCTATCAACGTACATATGCTTTATCATGGAGAATCTTTTGAATAATTTCCAAGAACAATGATAACACAAAGTCGCCTCCAGGACCCAGAAGTTTCCAACTGAGGAATAGAAAGAGAAAGAAATTTTACTTTTTCCTTATGCAAATTTTAATGCCATCACTTTTTTTTTTTTTTTTTCCTGGCAGAACCAGGGATTGAACTCAGGCCCTTGCGCTTACCAGGCAAGCGCTTATTCTACTGAGCCATCTCCCTGGGCCCCCAGTCACTTGACTCATATTTTTTTTCTCCTACTGCACAGTGGGACAAGGGCAGTTTGGTTCCTCATCTTCTGTCCTCGAGGGAACCTTAAACTCGCATTTCAAGTTTGCTCTATAGCACTGTTGAAGGTACAG